AAAATTAGCCGCGGGGGTGTGGCGGTCCGCAAGTCCGCGATCAGTCACTACCACGCAGGACCGGAAGTCTCCACGTTTCTATCCATTATATCTCTGTCGGTCTGTCTGCCTAACTATCTACCCATCTATATTTAACTATCTATCCACCCATTCATCTCTCTCTATTATTTCTCTCTCTCCATCCATCTTCAATAATTCATCATCTATGCCAGGGGTGTCAAACTCTCAATGTCACGTGACGTGTCCCGACGTATCACAACTTTTTTTTCCATTTCCAGCAATGGGGTGGATGCGATTTTGCCATGGCGCATCTGACCCGTGGGCCGGCAGTTTGACACCCCTGGTCTATGGTATAATATCTATCCATCTATCTTTATCCATCCATCCATCCATCATTCTCTGTCTCTCTATCCATTATATCTATCTATCTATCTATCTATCTATCTATCTATCTATCTATCTATCTATCTATCTATCTATCTATCTATCTATCTATCTATCTATCTATCTATCTATCTATCTATCTATCTTCAATAATGTATCATCTATCATCTATCCATCTATATTTATCCATCTATCCATCTATCAATCTCTCTATCCATTCTATCTATCTTCAATAATTTATCATCTATCATCTATCTATCCATCTATATTTATCCATCTATCCATCTATCAATCTCTCTATCCATTCTATCTATCTTCAGTAATTTATCATCTATCATCTATCTATCCATCTATATTTATCCATCTATCAATCTCTCTATCCATTCTATCCAATAATTTATCATCTATCATCTATCTATCCATCCATCTATCTATCTATCTATCTATCTATCTATCTATCTATCTATCTATCTATCTATCTATCTATCTATCTATCTATCTATCTATCTCTATCTATCTATCTATCTATCTATCTATCTATCTATCTATCCATCCATCAATTTCTCTATCCATTCTATCTATCTTCAATAATTTATCATCTATCCATCTATATTTATCCATCTATCCATCTATCAATCTCTCTATCCATTCTATCTATCTATCTTCAATAATTTATCATCTATCATCTATCCATCTATATTTATCTATCTATCCATCCATCAATTTCTCTCTATCCATTCTATCTATCTGTCTGTCTGTCTGTCTGTATGTATGTATGTATGTATGTATGTATGTGTATATATGTGTGTATATAGTTCCAGGTTGCTTCTCTCTTTGATTAGTTTCCACCCGTTGCTTCTTGTCCTGCCTTCAGGCGCTTTGGAGAATAGCTTGATTCCCTCTTCTTTGGGGCAAGCCCTGAGATATTGGAACATGGCTATCCTGTCCCCCCTTGTCCTTCTGTTCATAAAACTAGACATACCCAATTCCAGCAGCCGTTCCTTATATGCTTTAGCCTCCAGTCACCTGATCATCTTTGTTGCTCTTCTTGGCACTCTTTCTAGAGTCTCAACATCTCCACTTCGCTCTCGTGAGCGGAGTTTCGCGCACATGCTTGCCCGCCACTCGCGGGAGTGGCACTTCTTGCATGCTTGCCTATCGCTCACATGGTTTTAAACAGGCCGCAGCCGAGTATTGGGGATTAGGGATTGGGGACTCCTGCATTAGGACTCCGAGATTGCTCTTGCAGTTACTAGTACTGTACTGAGCCAGGTATTAGAGCTCATTGTTCTTGAGCATCAGGACATAAGTGGGATTCTTTGGGACCCTCAGAACCCTGGATCCAAACCCCAGAATCGTTTCCTTCCTGGCGCAGGTGACCTTCGAGGACGTGGCCATTTATTTCTCCCGGGAGGAATGGGAAGAATTAAGTGAAGGGCAACGGGAGCTGTACCAAGCTGTGATGATGGAGAATTACGAGGCAGTTCTTTCCTTGGGTAAGAACGACTTCATTGCTCAGGTGCTGGAGGGAAGAGGGTGAGTTGACTTCCCGCAATCCTCCTTGGCCCCAGATTTGTGTCTCCAACAGAGGTCAGCTGGACGCTTCTGGGGAACCTTCAAGCAGCAAGAGATGAAGGCCACGGACCTTCCCCTCGTTGGGTGCCTTTGATGGGGGAGCTTCCGTTGCATTATCAAAAGGCCGTGGCGACGATCTCCACAGCCGTGGCGACGATCTCCACGGCCTCCTCCGGTCTTTTGAGACCATCCCTGGTGCCTTTGCTGGAAGAGAGCGGACGCTAGAGGTCTCCCCGGCTGGGGAACATTTGATTGACAGACCCTCGGTCTCTTGAGGATGGAGCGGCTTCGGTTAAATGCTTAGAAGAGCCCCCCCAGGACCTCGGGAGATCGAGTCTGTCTTCCAAATGCCGTGCCGGGTTTGGACGATGGGATTTCGTAGTCCGAGCCGCTCTGAAGGGCGTGCTAGAACCTTCGGAAGGGGCTCCCGAGGTCCTCGAATCTTAATGTCCTGCTCAAAGCAGCAGGAAAGCAGATAAAAATAACCCCCCAAAGATGGCGGTCCAGCCTGTGCTTGAATACCTCCCGGGACCAGGAGCTCATCACCTTTGGGATAGGTAAGGAAGCTTTTCCTCTAACGTTCATTCAGACCCTACCTACCTGTCTATTTAGTCCACGAATAGGATATTTGTAGCCCAGGTCCTTGATGCTGTCTGAGTTTGGGGGTTTCTTTGCAGACATTTCACGATCCAACTAGAGAACACCATCAGGGCTAGAAGGGAGAGGGATTCGTAGGAAGGAGAAGGGGGAGGGGGAGGGGGAGGAGGAGGAGGAGGAGAAGAAGAAGAAAGAAGAAGAAGAAGAAGAAGAAGAAGAAGAAGAAGAAGAAAGAAAGAAAGAAAGAAAGAAAGAAAGAAAGAAAGAAAGAAAGAAAGAAAGTAAGTGTGGGGTCCTTGGTGCTCTCTGAGCTTGGTGGTTTTCTCGCAGACGTTTCGTGACCCATCGAGGTAACCACATCAGTGCAAGAAAGGAGTAAGGTTATAGAACTGATCCCACTCCCTTCTAGCACTGACGACGTCACCTCGTTGGGTAGTGAAATGTCTGCAAGAAAGCAACCAACTCAGAGGACACCAAAGACCCTACTGTCCTTCCTCCTCCACCACCACCTCCTCCTTCTCCTCCTCCTCCTGCCCCCCTCTTTCCTCTCCTCTCCTCTCCTCTTCTCCACAAACCTCACTCTCTTCTAGCACTGATGCTGTTACCTAGTTTGGTAACATCTGCAAGAAAGCAACCAAGCTCAGAGAGCACCAAAGACACCACAGTCGTCGTCGTCGTCCTCCTCCTCCTCCTCCTCCACTCCCTTCTAGCACTGATGATATTATCTAGTTTGGTAATGAAACGTTTGCAAGGAAACCATCCAGCTCAGGCAGCACCAAGGATCCCTCCGGTGAGGTCCATTATTCTGCACGTCTAGGACAACATGGAAGAGGTCCTCACCTTCTTCTAGGTGAGGTCGTTGGAGGTTCTAGAACAGGGCCTTCTCAGTCTTCTCTGCTCGGCCTCCATAAGCCCATCTCGTCCCGTATCTTTCCATGGGACTCGGTTCTGATCCCTTTCTCTGAACCCAGGTCCAGTTTCTCTGGATCCTTCTGGTAGAACCTAGAACCTAGTGGGGCCGTCCAAGAAGAGATCCTTTCTTGAGATTTGGAAAGTCCATTACAGGTAGTCCTCGACTTAACGACCGTCATTTGAGCCCCCAAATTTACATCGCTGCCCGAGAAATTTGTTCCGCACGTTATGTCCCATTTTACGACCTTTCCTGGCCCGGTTGTTAAGGGAGTCACTGCCGTTTTTAAATGAGCCAGATGATTGTTAAGTGAATCCGGCTTCCCCCCTCCCTTGACTCTGCTTGTCGAAAGGTCGCAAAAAGGGTATCAGGTGACTCCCAACACACTGGCGACCGTCGTAAACACGTCCGTGGCCAAGCATCCAACTGTTGATCATGTGACCCTGGGGATGCTGCAATGCTCATAAGGGTGAAAAACAGACATACGTCCCTTCTTCCAGGGCCGTTGTAACTTTAAACCGTCGCTGAAGGAGCTGTTGTAAGTCGAGATCTATATAACGACTCCTGCTTGAGCGGGGGGCTGGACTAGATGACCTCCGAGGCCCTTTACGACTCTGTTATTCTGTACGGGTAATTCTCAACTTACAACAACTCATTTACTGATCGGTCTCAAGTTATACTTAAAAAAAAAGTGACCTTGGAGTGTTTTTCACGCTTACGACCGTCGCACTAGTCCCGTGGTCACGCGATCAACATTCAAAGCTTTGGCAACCGACTCACGTTTGCGGTGGTCACTAAATGAACCGTGGTAAATTGAGGACTCCCCGTATTTAGGAAATCCGGAAGGGATCGACCAGGGACTTCAGATTTCCCCGTTCATCCAAGGAGAGAATTTACCGCTGGCCTTGGGGATCGGGGAAAAGTCCCAGTTCCCAACAGCCAGTTGCTTCCCCCAAATCTCCTAGTTTGCGTGCGGGGAGAGACTGGTCAGAACTGGGGAGGGCAGCCTCTGGGGTCTGGGGATGGAAAATAGAAATGGAATGAGTTGAGACCCCTTTGCTGTTTTTCTCTGTTTCCGACAGGCCTCCTGTCCGTCACGCCGCAGATTATCAACCAGATCGAACGCAAGGAGGCCGTTGTTACGGGAGAATTGTGGCAGCCGTGTGAATGGACAGATCCACAAGGTCAGTGGCCGGGTCAGAATTTCTTTACCGTTTGGTTGAGAGGTAGGAAAATGTGGGATAAGAAAAAAGGAAGAGCACACAGGGAGAATGTTCACTCACGATAATCCTCGCTTTACAATTTAGCGACCGTTCAAAGTTCCAACGGCACTGGAAAAAAGGGACTTAGGACTGTTTTACATGCTTATGACCACTGCGGTCTCTCCGTGCTCGTGTGAGGCAAATTCAGATGCCTGGCAACTGGCTCATATTTAGGACGGTCGCAGTGTCCCGGGGTGACGTGATCCTCCTTTCGCGACCGTCCGACGAGTAAAGTCAACAGGGACAGCCAGATTTATTTCATAGCCGTGCGACTAACTGAACCGGCAGGGAGTTACTTAGCGGCTGGGGAAACCGAGCTTTCGAGAATAATTGTGGTTGAGGGTTGGCAAGCTCAAAAGATCCCGATGTGTCGTTTTCGACACGCACGGCATTGCTTGGCCATGACTGATTCGAGCGATGCCTGGAATCTCGCACCAATTTCTCTGGAATCGCAGCAACTCGCAAGTCCATCTGCGGAGCAGGAGATTCCAGCGACAACATTTGGTTCCGGGGGATTTGGGGCAGGCGGTCAAGAAAAGTCAAGATGGCCACCGCAGGTGCCTGACGCACATCAAAAGGGGCTTAGCAGCGCAGGGGCCATCTTGACTTCTTCCCGCTGGATGCTGCTGTGATATCGACACCGCCATCTCTGAGCTGAGATTTGGAGTAGGTTGCTAGGTAACCATTTTGGGGTGGGTGGGTCGGTGAGTGAGTGAGAAAAAATGGGGTAGAAATCTAAGTATGATTCTCCATCTGGCCCACGGTGATGAGGTGTTCCCTTTCTTTTAGCAGAAGATGGTATCGCGATGGTGGACGTAGGTGAGGGCAGAGTGGAGACTGGGTCCCCTGTGATGCCCCCGGGGAAGAGGAAGAAAGGCCGCCCCCGGACCGCCAACCCGGTACCCAAACCCGAAAACAAAGGTCCTCCACGGGTGACGCTGAAGATGAACCCGCCAAAGTGCCCCGAATGCGGTAAAAGCTTCCTCAGCAATGTGGCCATGACCATCCACATCCGGACGCACACCGGAGAACGCCCGTTCAAGTGCCACCTCTGCCCCAAGGCCTTCCCCTCCCGGGGGGACCTCAAGCGGCACATCAAGATCCACCTGCGCAGGAAGCCGCCCCCGCCGGTCATGGCCCGCAGCAGCTCCTCGAAAAAGAGCTTGGCGGCCAAGATGCAGCTGCAGTGTCACCTGCGTTGCCCGCCCGATCCGAAGAAACCCTACAGCTGCGCGGAGTGCAGGAAGAGCTTCAACAAGAAGCAGAGCCTGCGCAAACACCAGGGGACGCACTCGACGGAGAGGCCTTTCGCCTGCCTGGAGTGCGGGAGCAGCTTCCGGCTCAAGCAGATCCTGGTGGCGCACATGGCCTCGCACATCAAGGAGCGCCCCTTCCCCTGCAAACAGTGCGGGAAGTGCTTCGCCCAGGAACGCAATGTGCGCAGCCACCAGAGGGTGCACACCGGCGAGAAACCCTTCCTGTGCATGGCGTGCGGGAAGCGCTTTGGCTACAAGCAGCATCTGGTCAAGCACCTACGCTTCCACACTGGCGAGCGGCCGTACCGATGCCCTGAGTGCGGGAAGACCTTCCGGGATAAGGCCACGCTGAACATCCACTACCGCATGCACACCGGCGAGCGGCCATACCGCTGCCCTTTCTGCAGCAAGACTTGTCGGCAGAAGCAGCATCTCAACAGTCACCTGAAGGTCCACCGCGGGGAGACCCTGCCCCTGGGGGACACCACCGGGCTCATCCTGCAAAGGGTGCGTGCCAAGGAGAAGCCATACGAGTGTCCGCAGTGCCAGAAGCGCTTCCGGAACAAGAAAATCATGTTGGTGCACCAGAAGATGCACAAAGACGAAGCACCGCGAAGTGCCCCACTGCAGAGCAAGAGGGGTCTACTTGTGGCAGATAGAAAGGCCCCCAGGGCAGGCCAAGGGGCAGGGAGGAAGAGGAAGGATGCGGGGCTCACTTCAGGGATGCCGTCCGCCCAGCCGGAGACGGCTCCCATCGCCTGCGCCGACTGCGGGAGGCGATTCACGCAGAGGAAGTACCTGACGCTGCATCAGAGGAGCCACAGGTGAGGAGACGCCGGTTTCCGTTGGAATCTCATCGTCCACGAAGACTCTCGGGATGGCGCACGGCACAAGAACCGTCACGGAGGAGGTGCTGGTTTGGGAGGCGCTGCCCACAAAAATGTCTAGACACAGCGCTGCGAGAAACATTGCTTTATTGTAGACAGTGGCGCTGTTTTGACCCCCCAGGACTAAAATACTCCAGCTTTTACTCCTGCCCTTTTGGGACAAGGGACAGCGGGCTGTTCTCCCAGTTTTAAGAGTCGACAGTCTCTCCCGCAGGTTTCAGATTCGTTTGAGCAACCAGCGGAGGACCATCAAAACAAGCCTGACACAGGCATTCATAGTTTCTAGAGCGCAGGTGTCAAACTCGCCACATCGCACGACGTGTCGCAACTTTTTTTGCATTGCCGGAGCTAGAGTGAGTGCGGCCTCGGCATGATGCAACCGGCCCATGGGCCGGAAGTTTGACACCCCCTTCTGAAGTGCGTAACGCTAAGCCCGAAAGACCCTTCGGTCTTCGCCCCCACTTGATCGAGGAGGGTTGTTCCTCTTCTAGCTCCGTGATTGTGAAAAAAACGTAGTGGCCGTCCCCATGGTATTCCTCCATAAATACAGGTTAGTCCTCGACTTACGACAGTTCATTCAGTGACCTGTTCAAAGTGACAACGGCACTGGAAAAATGGGAGTTACGCCCCATTTTCACACTTATGACCATTTGCAGCATCCCCAGGGTTGACGGGATCGAAATTCAGGCGCTTGAGCAACTGGTTCATCACCGTTGTTGTGATCCCCTTTTTATGACCAGCAAAGTCAAGGGGGGAGGGGCCAGATTCACTTAACGACTGAGTTACCAACTTATCTACGGCGGTGATTCGCTTAACAACCGGGGCAAGGACAGTTGTCAAACGGGGCAAAACTCACTGAACCGATTTCTCACCCAAAAACAGACATTTGGGGCACTCTTGTCGTCGTAAGTCGAGGACGGCCTGTACGCGAACGGGTCCCTTATTCCTGCAAATGCCCTCGGACGTCGCGTCGCCCTCCAAACACCCTGGAAGGCTTTCGGGATGCTGGGACTTTGCTCCGTGAAAAACTGCGGCAGGTTTTAGCTGGAAGCCGGAACTGGTGAGCGGAACGTTCCTGCGTCGTGACCAAAGAACCACTTTTCAAGATAGCCGCAATAAACCAGAAAATTAATATGATGATGGAGGAGGAGGAGGAGGAGGAGAAGGAGGAGGAGGAGGA